TAATAAGTGATAATGATGAGACCTGGTATAGAAACGATGTCAACTCAGTTGTACAATGGTGTAAAGACAACGATTTGTTACTGAATGTAGAGAAGACTAAGGAAATGATTGTTGACTTCAGAAAGAATAGAAATGTGAAAGAACCCATTCATATCAGTGGCACTGCAGTAAAGCAAGTAGCCAATTTTAGACTGCTGGGGGTAGAATTCAATAGCTCACTTACATGGAAGGACCACATAGACAAACAGTTAAAAAAAGCGAGGCAAAGGGTATATTTTTTAAGAAAGTTGAAGGATTTTACTTCAAATGAAATGATTTTAGCAAACTTTTACAAATGCGTTATAGAAAGTATATTAACATTTGCAATCATAGTATGGTATGGGCGGGCCACTGTAGAAGAACGCAAGCGTCTAGATATGGTCACATCAACGTGCGGCAAAATCATCGGTCTGGAACTCCCCTCTCTAGGTGCCATCTATACTAATAGATCAGTAACAAAAACAGAGAAAATCATGTCTGACTATACCCACCCCGCACATGGGCTTTTTAAATTTTTACCGAGCAACTGCAGGCTTTTAACTTTTAAGGGATCTAAAAGGTTTTTAAAGAGTTTTTACCCATCTGCTGTGTCTTATTTTAACAACAAAAATGGAAATTTATAATTTATTTATTTATAATTTGTAACCCGAATAGCAGTCCAATTTCCGTTTTATATGAATTTTATATTTATATATTAATGGCTGAATAAACTCTTATCTTATCTTAATCTTAATCTTAATCTTATCTTAATCTTATCTCTCTGACAACTTTTTTCCCTGCTTTGGGAAAGACTTGGATTTGTTCTTAATGTCATATGAACATTGAAAAGGATGAAAACGGGCTTTCCCTTTAAGGGAAAATTTGAGCTTCCTTAATTCTTCAACATTCTTCACTTTCTTGGATATTTCTCCTCCAAAAAGGAAGTTTGGGTCTTCTTCTTCATGAATTGTAAGATTTTGAGAAATCTCCCCAGAAAACTGTTTCTTGATGTCAACTCTTCTTCTTGCAAGGATCCTTTTATTAGCCTCCATGCCCAAAGCTATTCCATCTAACAAAACATTTCTAGCAACTTTCTCAGACTTGGGCAAATTATCTAATGCAGAAAGTTGACAGTTAATGGAAGCTAGAAGAACTGATTGACAGCCTTCTAGATGTATGTCACGCTTCTTAACACCAGTTGAAATGTTACACCATAGTTCTAATTCAACTTTAGGCACCCCAATATCAACATTAGCTGCAGTGGCATGTAGATTCATTTTCTTCTTCATAAGATCCACAGATAGCTTATTCTTAGATAATTTATTAGCAAAGTGAGCCACGCCATCAGACAAAGCGGGACCTCTGATGTCATCCATGCACAACTCAGCAATGAAACTATCAACATCAGAGTCTTCCTGAGACTGAGTGTCATCCTCGCCCAGCAGCACTTCTAAATCTTCAATTTCGGAGGGTTCCCCAGCAGGGTCACGAGCACTGACAACCTCCTTGGTCTCCAAAATAGAAATGCGCTGCTGCATATCTTTTAGATTATTTAGAATCAAATCCAGCTTGGATGACTCAGATTGCTTAGAAGTGGAGGGACCATCTAAATGTTCTGTCAGAACAACATCTTCATCACCACTATTCATAATGAATCTGTCTGCAGGTAAACCTATAAAGGTTAAATAAAAAGTGACTATAGTATCATGAACAATCAATGTAGCTCAATTGAGTCTACTAAAATTGGATGTCCAACAAGATCATCCTGACCTCAAAAATAAGGGCCACACAAAATGAGGTACCCTCCAGCAGTGTATGAAATTCAAGGAAATTACTAGCCAGACCGCCGGGCAGGTAACTCTGAAAAGTTACCAGCCCGGCCATGTAGTTACCTGCCCTATTTATGATAACCCCTAGAGTTAAGAGAGGTATGCTGAGGGGGTCTAGAATGCATTCTTGGGAGAGTAATTTGGAAATGAAAGGGCAATATCATGCCTTATGCATGGAAATTTAGAAATTGTTTGGAATTTCTACTGAATGATACTAGTACCTTGTCAGTGTTGGATTTAGAGGGGGTCAAGGGGCTCCTGACGCCCCCCCCCTTTTAATTTCTGTAAAAAAAACTCACCTCTTGAAATAAGATTCTCACTAGTTGAATCATAGTTCTAAACCATACCAAATGGCACCATTCACCATCTAAAATACCAAAAATTTTCAGGGCCCTTTAGCAGTCAGGGGGGGGGGT